CTCTTGTTGCCCAGGCTGGAGTGCAGTAGGGTGATCTCAGCTCATTGCAACCTCCACCTTCCAGGTTCAAGTGATTCTCCTGCCTCAGCCTCCTGAGTAGCTGGGATTACAGGCACCCACCACCACGTCTAGCTAATTTTTGTATTTTTAGTTGAGACGGGTTTCACCATGTTGTCCAGGCTGGTCTTGAACTCCCTATCTCAGGTGATCCGCCCACCTCAGCCTCCCAGAAGTGCTGGTATTATAGTTGTGAGCCACTGAGCCTGGCTAGTAATCTACTCTTAAAGCACTTGCAACAGAATGCCAACTAAATATTACTGAGAAAGAAACAGCCACAAGCATCTTTTGTTTAAGTATGAAGTATTTTAAATACTTTAAACATCCAGAAGGTATATAACCAACACTATGGACACACCCACATTTCTTCAATGCTAACATTTTGTTTCAGTTATCTTTTTTTTTCCCCCTGTAGACTTCCCCCGTGGTTATGAGCTATCTTTTTAAGAATAAAACATAACAGGCTGGGTGCGGTGGTGTACACCTGTAGTCCCAGGACTTTAGGAGGCTGAGGCGGGTGGATTGCTTGAATCTAGGGGTTCAAGACCAGCCTGGACAACATAGTGAAACCCTGTCTCTACAAAAAATACATCTCCTCAACACCAATACCACTCACTAGCTCTTATTTTAAAAGTTTGGGCTGTTATGCTATCTATCAGTACCATTCTTACTCATCTCTACAAAAAACATTAACCAGGCGTGGTGGCCTGCCCACCTATAATCCCAGCTACTCAAGAGGCTGAGGTGGGAGGATCACTTGAGCCCAGGTCAAGAGCCTCTGCGTTCCAGCCTGGGTGATAGAGCTAGACCCTGCCTCAAAAAAAGAAAAAAGAATAAAATGTAACAGTCACATCTGTAAGTGCCTTAAGGCACCTCTCCAATTCCATGTCCTTCCTCCTCTCCCTGTTAAACTTTATTATATAATGATAAAAAGCAACAATGTTCCTCTTTATCTGGGCCTATGAACAGGTCTGTGGTAACTTCATTAATCCAAATGCTGTTGTTCAAGATTTACCTGTTATCTGGGTTGTCAGGGAGATGACCACAGGAAATTCCGAAGACAAAGCCCGGAGACTGACATTGTAGTTGGTCCCCGGATGCAGTTCCAAGCACACCTCAGGATCTTGGCTGCTGGTGCTGATGTTAAAGGTCATTTCCCGAACAAATTCCTTCTGATACCATCTCTGGCCCCAAATGTGGAACTGAAACATAAAAAAAGCTCACTAGGTGAATGCTTGGCCTGAAAAACTTTAGATGCCTTGAAACCTCCCTTTTTTCTTTCTTTCATTTATTTTTATTTATTTATTTATTTATTTATTTTATTTTGAGACGGAGGCCTCTGTCACCCGCACTGGAATACAGTGGCATAATCTCAGCTCACTGTAGCCTCAACCTCCCAGGCTCAAGTGATCCTCCCTCCTCAGCCCCCCAAGTAGCTAGAACCACAGATGTGTGCCAACACATCCAGCTAATTTTTGTATTTTTTGTAAAGACAGGGTTTCACTATGTTGCCCAGGCTGGAATCAAACTCCTGAGCTCAAGCAATCCGCCCCCGTGGATCCCAAAGTGCTGGGATTACAGGTGTGAGCCACCATGCCCGGCCCCTTCCCTTTTCCATGAGCTTTCTTCCTCTCTCTCTCTTTGGGCTCTCATGTTTCTTCAAAAAGTAAAATGCAGCAGTAAGCAAACATTAGAGCTGCAATACTATAAATATGGTACTTACAATATTATTAGCATAATGAATCTATTTTTAGATTTATTATAATAAAAAAAAACACAAAAGCCTGAGGTCCCAATACTGGCGACTTTCTCCTTGTTCTCACACATACAGTGAACATGCCCAACAAGAAAGTCTGTTGGCAAAACTGCAGGAGCAAGGACAAGAATGTTTTCCTAGAAAGAATATTAGGAATCCAAACTAAGCAGGAACTGAATTAGACTACTCATAGCTGGTCTGGTAGAACCTGAGAAGGGTTTTTCTTCTCTGCCTGCCTCCTTCTGGAGACTCTACCCTTTCCTTTACCACCCTGACATTTTGGCCAAGAGACACTCTTCTTCTTACTTAATTTCTTCTAGTAGAAGCTCATCCCACAGTCTTTCCTTTTTTTTTTTTTTTTTTTTTTTTGAGACAGAGTCTCGCTCTGTCACCCAGGCTGGAGTGCAATGGCATGATCTCAGCTCACTGCAACCTCTGCCTCCGGAGTTCAAGCAGTCTCCTGCACCAGCCTCCCAAGTAGCTGGGACTACAGGTGCGTGTCACCACACCCAACTAATATTTGTATTCTTAGTAGAGACAGGGTTTCGCCATGTTGGTCAGGCTGGTTTCAAACTCCTGACCTCAAGTGATCCACCTGCCTCAGCCTCCCAAAGTGCTAGGATTACAGACCTGAGCCAATGTACCTGGCTAGTCCTTCCCTGTCTTACTCACAACCACATTGAGCTTCAAAAGTTCCCCCTGGCTCTCCGGGCAACACATCCAGACCCTGGCCAGAGACACTGATAAGGACACAGACACACATGCATAGGCCACTGGACTCCTTCCATGGACACCGTCTAAGCATCAACAGCACCAAGATATGAGCACAAAGAAATTCTCGGCCAGGCGTGGTGGCTCATGCCAGAAATTCCACCACTCTGGGAAACTGAGGCAGGAAAATTGCTTGAGGCCAAGGGTTTGAGACCAGCCTGGGAAATAAAATGAGATCTTGTCTCTACAAAAAAATTAAAAATTAGCCAGGCATGGTAGTGCACACCCATAGTCCCAGCTACTCATGAGACTGTGGCAGGAGAAGCACTTGAACCCAGGAGTTCAAAGGTGCAGTGAGTAATGATTGTGCCACTGCACTCCAGTGTGAGTGACAACGCGAGACCCTGTCTCTAAAAAATGAGAACACGTGGACACAAAGACGGGAACTCCGGGGCCTACTTGAGGGTGAAGGGTGGGAGGAGAGAGAGGATCAGAAAAAAAAAAAATACCTATTGGGCACTATGCTTATTACCTGGGTGACAAAATAATCTGTACACCAAACCCCCGTGAAACCTTAGGCCAGGCGCGGTGGCTCCCATACAATGTACCTACATAATAAACCTGCACATGTGCCCCTGAACCTAAAATAAAAGTTATATAATAAAAATAAATTTCAAATGTTAAGAAAAAGAAAAGAAGAAACTCTTATGGCTGTCTCATCTCTCCCATGGTTTCTCTTTTTTTTTCTTTTTTTTTTTTTTTGGAGACAGAGTCTTGCTCTGTCTCCCAGGCTGGGATTCAGTGGCATGATCTTGGCCCACTGCAACCTTCTCTCATGGGTTCAAGTGATTCTCCTGCCTCAGCCTCCTGAGTAGCTGAGATTACAGGCGTGCACCACCATGCTTGGCTAATTTTTGTATTTTTAGTAGAGATGGAGTTTCACCATGTTGGCCAGGATGGTCTTGAACTCCTTGCCTGAAGTGATCCACCCGCCTTGGCCTCCCATAGTGCTGGGATTACAGGCGTGAGCCACTGCACCTGGCCAAAGGTTTCTGTCTTTAACTATGCAGTAGAAGTGGCCATCTTCTTGCTTCTTGATGCAAATGCCACAGAAAATCATGTATTGATAATGATAGTTACAGAACTAGATGTTTAGGTTTGTGGATATTTTTAAGCCTCTCACATAAGACAACCATCTATAAATATAGTAACTTTCAGTCACTTACTAAATACATCTCCTCCATGTCAACTTTCTTGATGATATTCCATCTCAAGCAAGTTTCATTAAATCCTGAAATGTTACTGATGGTCTGTTTTACTGCAGCGGAAAAGAAATGAGAAATCAATTTACACTCTATAGAAAGAATACTACCTTTTAATTGAGTCATTTTTAAAATTAACACAAGGATAAGCATTAGCATAAGATGAGTTCAACAGTATTTTAATTTAGGAATTAGTGGTAGCAGTCTCAAAGGAATGCTACTTTTATATTTAGGTAAACTCAGTCTTAATGAAAAATTTCAGATCCAAAGATACCTAATCGGAGGGCCCCTCTTAAGAATTATTTGAGTGGCCCGGGCACAGTGGCTCATGCTTGTAATCTCAGCACTTTGGGAGGCCGAGGCAGGCAGATCACTTGAGGCCAGGAGTTCAAGACCAGCCTGGCCAACATAGTAAACCCCCATCTCTACTAAAAATACAACAATTAGCTGGGGATGGTGGTGTGCACCTGTAGTCCCAGCTACTTGGGAGGCTGAAGCAGGAGAATCGCTTGAAACTGGGAGATGGAGGTTGCAGTCAGCTGCGATCGTGCCACTGCACTCCAGCCTGAGTGACAGAGTGACACTGTGTCTCAAAAAAAAAAAAGAAAGAAAAAATTAGTTGAGTCTATTCACTGCAAAATTCCTTGGCTTACTAAGCTAAAATTGCAACTCTTGGTCCTGGGCCTTGTATACTCTCATTTATACAAATAAGCGTCAGTTTGAAATTCTGAACGGAGAGCAACATTACAACAGAGAATTGATCCTTGAGGAACTGAAAAAAGCACTTTCAAGCAATTGGATTTTCCATAAGGAAAAGAATGTTGGGGGTGGCGGGATTCTCTTTGTTTGGGCTTCCTTATCTCTTATGAGCAAAGAAATATTTCTTGTCCTCTGCTCAGTTTCGTGGTAATCAATCTAAAAGACAATTCAGATCTGATACAGTTTGATGTAGAGGTACACCCCCACTGAAGTAGTCAAGAAAGGCTATTTATTCAAAACCCTGACATCAGAGGTTACTTCCTTCAATAATGATCTCTGTCTCTAAACTGGAAATAATAGAGCAGACTTGCTAAGAAGTTTCACAGGAACACTGTGATGAATAACGAGTGACAAAGACAAATCCCAAATTACCTGAAAAAAAGGAAAGCCCCACGAAAGGTAAGGCTGTATTTTATAACCCCCTGGCCTGTCAGGTTCCTAAGAATAAAGCCAAGTTGGTAGACATGAGCCCTCTCTATGGATTGGGCAGCTCGACACAGAGAAAACCCCCCGTATAGGTCACAAGCTGTACTACAGAGCAGGTAAAGAACAGGAGGGAAAGACGAACAGGGGGTAAGGAACAGGAGGAGTACAGATGATTCCGGGTAACGCAACCTCACAGCTGGGTACAGAAGACAGGTTTGGAGACATGTAGTACTGATCCAAAGTTACACTTCTGAAACTTTCAAAATAAAAATAACTCCAATAGTATTTAAACAGTTCTAGACTATACAGAAAGGTGGAAGATTCCCCAGGTCATTTAACATGACTAAATAATCCGCAATGCCCAACCTGTGCAAGGATGGCACGCCAAACTCACTTGTTAATATAAACACAAAAATCCAAAATAAAATATTCACAAAAAGAAGTCGGTAGTACATTCAAAGAACAATACACTATGACCAAAGACGATTTATTCCCAGAATACAGAGAGGCTCCTCATTGGAAAAGCTATTAATAGGCTTAAAAGAGAGAAATCATGTGGTTAGTTTTATAACTGAAACTGTTAATACACTTAATATACACTTTGTTAACTTGAAATCCTAGTGAGCTAGGACTTCATTTGACAGAAACTCCTTAGCTTAATACAGTTTATGAGAAACACCCATACTCAGTGGTAAAACAATTAAGCAATTTCCAGCAAAGTTAAGAACAATATAAGGATGCCTGTCTTGTAGCTATTATTGAGCCTTATTCAAGAGATTCTAGACAATACAGAAAAAGGCAAGAAAAAAAAATAAGCTATACATGCCAGAAAGAGAGACAAATATGCAACTGCCAGTAAATCCAAGAGACCCAAGTAATCAAATATGAAACTGTTTGAAAATAAGAGAAAGGCAACATTAAGAAAACTGATCATTGTCTATTTATCTTCAAGAACAAGCATGGTAGGCTAAATAATGACCTCCGCCCCCCGCCAGCAAGTCTTCATCCTAGTCCCTGGAACCTTACACAGCAGAAGCACTTTGCAGAGGTGACTAAGACAGTGAGATTATCCTGAATTATCCAGATGGGCTCAATATGATTACAAAGATCCTTAAAAGAGGGTGACAAGAAGAATAGAGTTAGAGAGAGGACTTAAGAATGGAAGCAGAGGTTAAACTGATAAGCTTTAAATATGAAGGATGGAGCCACAAGCCAAGGAGTATAGGCAGGCTCTAGAAACTGGAAAGGGCATGAAAATAGATTCCCCTATAGATATCCCCCTGAAGAAATACAGGCCTGGTCACACTTTGATTTCAGCTTAGTGAAACTGATTTCACACTTCTGACTTCCATAACTATAAGATACTAAATTCATGTTCCTTTTTGTTTTTGTTTTTTAAGACAGGGTCTCATTCTGTCACCTGGGCTAGAGTGCAGTGGCCTAATCATGGCCCACTGCAGCCTCAACCTCTAGAGTTCAAGTGATCCTCCTGCCTCAGTCACGCAAGTAGCTGGGACCATGGGCACATGCCACCATGCCTGGCTTATTTTTTATTTATTTAATTGTTTTGGTAGAGACAGGGTCTCTATGTTGCCCAGGCTGGGCTTGTACTCTTGGGCTCCTACTTTGGCCTCCAAGCCATCCTCCCACCTCGGCCTCCCAAAGTGCCGGATTACAGACCACCATACTCAGCTAACTTTTGTATTTTTAGTAGAGACAGTGTTTCACCATGTTGGGCAGGCTGGTCTCAAACTCCTGACCTCAGGTGATCTGCCTGCCTCAGCCTCCCAAAGAGCTGCGATTACAGGTGTAAGCCACTGCACCTGGCCACCACAATTATTTTCTTATAGATCTATTTTATACTGGTTGAGAAAGCTTTTATAGACCAATACACATATTAAATTTTAACTGTGTAAGACAAAAATGTAAGCAAAATTAATTGAAACGTTCCTAAAATTTCTTCATGGTCAATATATAACAAACACTTCCCTACAGCAAGGCCATTTGATATGAGAGGTAAAGAAAAATACTTCTCAATCACTTCTCAATTAAGAGTTATTGGTGCCTATATTTTTCCACACAATAGCATCCTATGTGCTATCTATTCAGAGTCTGGAGAGACAGTATTTCTTTAAAATGTGCTCTTTTTTTCCCACCGAACTTTCTTTCCACTAACACCCATTTTGATGCTGAAAGTTGATCTTATACTTGGCTGTTCTGTTCCGATGATGCTTTACACATATAATAGCACTGTGCCTCAATGTCAAATCATAATGTAGCTGTTTGGAAAAAGTTTTAGTAGGTGATTGAACTCAAGACACAAATGGCACCACTAATGTCCATAAATAAATAGAAGCGACAGCACTATAAGCAGCTATGACCAATATGGTGTATAGATGGACAATGACAATTATGTTCTTGGGAGCCACCTGACTGTATCACAATTATAAAATTTCATAGATATCAAAATGTGAAAAAAAGATGCCTCTGAGAATCAATAAAACATAACATACACAAGTATATTAGCATATACAAGTATATTATTGTCTGTAATAACAAAAACTTGAAAGGGAAAAAAGATACCCAAATAACCTTCTATAAAGAATAAGCTGATAAATAGTATCCCTTCATACGATGGAATACTGTGCTTCCCTCAAAGAGAATGAAATGAAATTAAATGAACTGGTATGGAAGTATGTCTACAGCATATTATAAAGCCAAAAGTCAAAGAATAAAATAAAAAAGCAAAATGAAGAATAACACACACACATATATATATAATTATTTCATTTTTAAAAATTACACACACACGTATGCTCAAGTAACCTAACAGTAGTGGTGAGTCTGCAGCTCCTTTTGCTCACAGGAAACATCTCACTGGCTCAGTTCAGTTCCACCTTGCTCAGGGAGTGACATTCTCACTCTAGGTTCCCTTCCCTCCTTTCAAGAGGCTTTATAGTTTGAGCCACAGGCAGGTTGAACCCATGATGTGTTCAGTGGGGAGAAAGGGATCCCTGGGAGAGCTCATCCCAAGTCGCTTCCTAATGCTCTCAGATCCTCTGCTATGAAAGATATATGCCATGGTCTCTCATACAAATATTTCTTCTCTAATGCATTTGTAGTGGTTACTTTGGATTCTCTCTCTTTTCTCCATCCACTGGGCCAATCTAATCTAGAATCCTGAAGTTGAAAAACTAGAACTGCAAGAATGCCTCAAAAAAGAGAAAGTTAAGCTCTTAACAAAACTTTGTTTCTGCTTCGTTAATACAAGCAAGCAACTCTGGGCAAAATCAATCACTATCTCCTCTCTGTTCCTGCAGTACCCTGCAAATACCTCAATTACGCTTTATGTATTGTATTACTGATCTTTGTCTGTAACTCTCATTGAACTGATCGCTCCTTGAAGAGAGAGACATATTTTTCATCTTTGTACTCTCAGTGTCTAGAGCAGTAGACAGGCAGGCAGTGATTGTTTAAATGCAGACAATCCGTGGTAAGGGGAAATCTAAGCAAATGGTATTGCATTGACCCAGTGGAATATAAGTCCCCCAAATAAGACATGGTTTCTGCCTGTAACATGCATTTAATCTAGGAGAGAAGTTATGGCCTATATAAGTATAGTTTTAAAAACAAGGGAGTATATAATAAATGTCAAAAGGTAAATTTAAGTAATAGTTAACATTTAATAGACATTGATCGTGTGTCAGGTATTGTGCTGTTTCCCCATATGCTTTAACCCATCTGGTTTTCACAATAAGCTCACAAGGTGGGTCTTGTTATTCTATTTTCACAGTGAAGGTAACTGGACACATAGAGGTGAAATAACTTGCCCAAGGTGACAGAGATAGCAAGTGGCAGATCTGGGATTTGA